CTTTTGATAGGACGAGAAATAATTAACTACCTACTAATTAGCTAAAAACTAAATATTTTTTTATAATATTGTGCTAAATATTTTTTCTTTAAGAACAATAATATCTTTTGCCTACATGCTATAACACGTTAAGTGCGAATCGATTGTACTAATATATGTTGAATACATCAAACATTGGAAGCATTAATGTATGGGGCTGGGGACTACCTTCACTTTAATATTTAAACACACAGAGCTATTTTATTTATATAATGACTATACAGTAAACAGGAAATACGTTTAGTCATGCGGAAACTCAGAAATTGTCAAAATAATGTAAACTTTTTTTTGAGTTTTTTTTAAATTTAATTAACTGTAGTAATATTTTTACGTTTAATTTTATGTTCGTTTTGAATTAGTTTTTTTTTAAACACTGATATTTACGTATTAAGAGACTTTGTATCCTATTTCGCAAATTATGTGAAAACACACTTATATTTCGATTATATTTTTATGAAATAATGGAATAGGCGGTTGTTTTCCAACCCGCCTGATGAAAAGTGATGAATTGATGATATACATGTATTTTGCATTCGATTATCAATAGTCTTAACTTTACACGGACACCGAAGGCATACGGAATGCGGATAGAAGGTGAAGCGGCTGCTGCGGTTTTATATTGTAAGTGATTGTATGTATGTATGGGTGTGTGTGCGTGTGTGTGTTTTAGTTATTTAACTCCAATGTAACAAAATTGTGGTGTCTTAATAACTGAAAATTATACGAGTGGTATTCATATTCAATAAACATACTTGGATATAATTAGGCCCTTATTTAAGCTGCGGAGCGGCCTGTCGCGACGATGACAGACATCACATTTTAATTCTTAAAAAAATTCGACTATATTTCTCCAGCCAACCCCATAATGTTAGGTTCAGCACTACTAGTGCACGAATTAAAAAAATAAATAAAGCTTATTGCACACAGAAATGCATCACGAGTAAGATATAACTAACACAAAACCTATGAAAAAAATCAACCGACTTCAAACGTTTCTTGCATGTTTGTACACAACATAAGGGCATTAAAATGCATGCACATTTTATAGAAAGGCACTAAATTCAACGAATACAAATAAAAAACTATAGCCGTTTGTATTTGATTAAATAAATACGTGTCACTACCGGCTTATAGTGTCAAAATTCATTTATTGATTTCTTATAATCACTGTCGAAGAGTTTACTAAATGTAAACATTATTTGCCCACTGTAAACAATTTGTTTACAATAGTCAAACGAAACCTATCTACACACAAGCCGGCAGTACAACCATTTAAACAAATAAAAATGAAAAATAATAATTAAATAACTAATATTTGTTCTTACACACTAACAAACTAAAGATGGAAGATATCATTTAACCCTATTATGTTTTGGTTATACCCTGCCGTTGGCAGTTTTGTGCTCTGTATGAGAAAAATTAAAGCATCTCGTGTTATTCGAACCCTATTTCGAAAGTATTAGAGGTTACAATTCCTTGGCGATTCTCTGAGCGTTCATGCATTGACTAATGAAAATATAGAACTGACTATCTCAGTGTCCATTTCGTTTTGGCCGTACATTTAGAACACAAGTGCGTTTTTTTTAATATATTTTTTTTTATCTAATTCATCCTATGCACCGCAGCAGCAGCAGTACACAGGGTAGATTACATTACAAATTAATATTTTTAGAGAATTGACGAAAACTAGCCCACCTTGAAGCATTCAAACTCACTGGTAGGGTGACAACAGCAATTACTGGCAACAAAATAAAAAATATATCCTTCACATTGTTAAGCAATTAATTATACGAAGCTGTGAAGGGTTATTATTTTCATTCCATAATTGTTATATCACCCTAATCACATCATTACATTAACACCGTCCAAATAAGCACTAACTATTAACTATAAAAATTCATTTGAATTTAAATTCATTGTTTTTTATATTTTTTTCTCAATTAAATAAATAAAAAGTGGTACACTTATACACTAATAGTTCATAACTTCATTTCATATACTTTTTAGTTATCGCACGAAACGTGAATATATTAAAATAGTGTCAACTAGTTATAACGTAGAAACATCACATTTTTAAAGGGTTCTTTTATGTGAGGTGTGAGCGAGAACATCCACTTTCAAACAATAAATAATTTGTTAATTTGTGTGACTAGATATTGATATAAGTGTATCATTGATGACATAGAAGGCCTTTTTATATTACTTTAAAATATTCAAATTGTGAAGACTCGATAGAAAAATCTTGGTCAGTTTTTCACAAGAATCTAGGTATTTATGCTTTATAGTGAATTACAAAATCTACCAAATATTGGTACGGTTAAAAACGCTACAGTGTCAGCAGAGAAAATATTATTATTCTTTTTTGCATACTGAAGCGACTTCAAAAAGTTAGATTTATTATTAAATCCATATTTACGAATATTTGTATCTCCGCAATTTATTTAACTAGTAAAATTGACCTATCGTTAAAGTTATTTTACTGCCGTACATTCTATATTTTTCAAGAAGGTTTTTAATTAAATACGTTAGGTATTTATTTTTTCTTCAAAAGTCAGTTTTAGTTAAAAATATAATTTTAGACACGCCGATATAAAATTTGAAATAAAATAGGATAAAAAGAATCCTAAGAATGTTCCATCAAGTAACAAATCCTTCTAAGAAACTGTACACCTATAACCACTTAATAATTCGTGAACGTTAAACACACAATCTACTGCTAAAACATTCAATTCAAATATCAAAATACTTTGTGAGACATGTATTTCATAAGTTTCGCTCACACCAATCAATTTGGCAACCATAGCCAATAATACGTACCCTTAATACTTTATTAAACATTAAAAACCAGCTAAGCACGATGAATAAATAACGAAATTTCGATACTGGCTAACCTACACACAGATTAATATGTATTTATTATAATCATATTATTAATTATACCATGTGGTCTCTATTATACCTGTGTTAGTCTTTGTCAAGAGAGCTCTTTTTATGACTGAGTGCACTTGGAATGTCTTACATGAGGTGCATGTCGTTGCAGAAAGCTCGTTATTCTTTATATATGTAACGAAGATTTTTTTTTAAATTTTGTATCCTTCTCTTATTACAGAATCAAGAAGAACAAACTGCATTAGGGTTTTTTAGGTATACTAGATTTTAGGCTAGTTTTTCAGGCAGCAAAAAAAAAAACTAGGTTTTTAATACTATTTGTCCTGGGTGGGAATCGAAACCATGACCTCTGACTTAGGATTCAGAGTCACTAATATAATAACCAGACCAATGGGTCAGTCAACCAATTTATCAACAACGTTTATCAGCGTGAATAAAAATAAAATAACAAAACAAGCCCATTAAAATTCATACAAAAATTCACTTGAACAGCAATTCACAAAAAGTGCACTTATACCAGCAAAAACCAACCCTAAAAACAAATTTTCTAACTGTCGGATACTTTACCGAGCTAAAATTTGACCACACGTTATTTGGTAACAGCCTGTATATACACCACCAAGTAACCACACACAGCAAAATATGACTCACTAAAGAAAAACGAGATCTTACGACAATACACCCCAGCACTGTCTAAGTGCACTTAAATGCATATATACTTATATCAGTCATAAAAAGTGCATCTCTACATAATATTTCCCTACAATATTTGTATGTTGATATGATATCATTTCGATTGCAACGATCCCTTTGCACAACGGTACGTCTCACGTACAGTTTAATGTTAGTATGAAATACGGTACTCAATATTTTCTTTTATAAAGTTAACTAAAACTAGGCTTTCTGTCAAATTTTAATTTGACCAAAATTTGCAATCATACAAAATCTGCTGGACATATACTAGTTATTTTAACTAGTATATGACCGGCTGTTTTTTTTTAAATATATTTAGAAATAATAATTTAATATAATATACCATTCTATTATTTTGTAGTCAGGGTATGCTTTCAGGATAACAATATTATTATTAAGTTAAAGATTGTATTACAAACGTCATCAAATAATTTGTAAATCCATCAACTTTGCTGTTTTTAAGAAAGAGTGGCGTTTAGTATTTTTTAACTGACAAAATTTTCAGAGGACTCATTGGATGTTGGATCAAACAAAAAGATAATCACTGAATTTTTTTGATTTTCTATTCATAAAATATTATATAGAATATAATTTGCACAGTACATTTATATATATATATATATATACTATGACTGTTTGTACATTTCATTTTTTTAAATTTCAACTGGAAAACTGATAATTAACTTTGTTAATTCCTACTGGATTCCAGACTTTTATTTGATATTTAAATTTATATGTATCCGTATTTCATACTAACAAAAACAGGCGTATTAAGTTTTTTCATGTCTTTATCAATATATTCATGATAAACGCTTGCTAAGGCGAGTATTGTTGTAGAGCGTCGAGTTAAAATGGTGCGTTTTAAAACCTTATATCATACTGAATAGAAAACATTTTCGCTTTTCATAAGTAGTTTCACTGTTATCGGGCGAAAGTTGAACAAAACATGATTGAAATTGTGCTCGGTATAAAAAGAGACAATATTAAATGCGTTAAAAGTTATCTAGTATTCAATATTTCAGATATAAATACAAAATGTGTAAGAAAGTTTTGAGAAAATAGTATTTTTTTCGTTGGCAGAATTTAAAGAAATATGTTTTTCAACATGCTTTGCTCAATACTTGTAAGGTTATACAAATAAGGCTGACAAGAGCTCAGCTAACGATATTGAACCTTGTTTGTAATGAAACTAAGTTTATTTTTGAACTTTTAAAAGGAATCAATTTTAGGCCAGGCTTCCTATTCAAATTTCTTCAAAGATTTTTCTTTTTCTTTTTAAAATTTGACATAGATTATGAAATTGTATTTATTCATCACTGATGTTCTAATTAAAGGTTGCTTTCCAACACAAATAAGGTTCAATAGGTACATAACCCAGCTTAGTTAATAGGTCCCGTGGCCAAATAGTGGTAGGGGTGCCTGTTTTGCATGAATCTGTTATCATACCTCTGATTCTTCTGATAAAAATCATTACGTTGAACTTTCCTGTAGTTCTGTGTTCGACGCTGTTGGTTCTTGTCTTGGGGCTTGTCCGTCGATTTGTTTGAAGATTTGGCTTCGTTCTTGGCGTCAGGTTTCTGGACTTCGGTAGCCTTCTCCTGTAATAAGTAAAAGGGAAGTTTATTACTTAAACAAGCTTATTATTGAATAAAACCAGATCATCAAGATGTATAGGTACTTAAAATTCAATTTCAAGAAGCAAATCAGCAGCAACACCAAAGGCACCATCGTGTACACTCCCACAGCGATGAGCAGTAATCAAGTGTCAGCCAGCCAGCAGCCTCGGCCTCAAGAGGGATACCACACGCAGGTAGCGACCGCTCCAGCCTGGTTATCCCTACGACCTCATCAGCGTCTAGGCACACTGCACCTACGGTCCACGTAAGAAGACCATATCTCTCCCGTCTACGCAGCAGCCAGCCACTACGCAGCACCGCCAAGACTTACTGGGGACTTCACCGCAGCACCGCAGCACCGCACACAATCCCGACTCACTGGGACTAGCGGCACTCAGTTCCGACTCACTGGAACTACTCACTACTGACACTGGCACGCTCCACAACAGGGCATAGACAGCTGACTCATCAAGATATCGACCTCCGGTCTTGGAGGGGAGTGATGTGACGACTTCCACATACGATGAAACAAAGAAACATACTACAGCGCTACCTAACGTAGACATACCGAACTAAGGAGTAACTCCTGAATGATAATTGCTAATCCTGTATCGCGATATGAAGAATTCTCTAGCCGATTAGCATATATACAACTTCTCAACATCAACCGTTGGGCCGCGACACGCCAGGCATGATCACCTAATCTGGTAGGAGGATATTCCCTTTGTGTTGGAGGGACATGACACCCGTTACTCCACAGTACGTACATACAAACACTAGAAAAACATAACCCTCTGGCAAAGTTGGGTATTACGCTAGCTAGAATTTCAGTAGTCGCATGTGATGTGACATCTCACTTACTATCCGACAGCCGACTTTGAGAAGTTGGGGGCGCCTTTAAGACGACAACGCTGAACTTTGATTTTTTTCGGAGCGACTGCCACCAGACCTCCACAACCTAGTGCCTACCACTATAACCATAAGGCAACCGGGACCAACGGCTTAACATGCTCTCCGTGGCACGGCGGCGTCTCAATGTGTTAAGTAATGTTCACCCATCCATAGACTGACCTGGCTAGGATTTGCCTAACTTTGCAATGCGGTAACCTACTCGGTTACCACTTAATCACAAGCGAGGGGCTTGTGATTAAAGATAGATGTTACACAACAAAAAAACAATAATTATTTTTGACCACTAGCAACATTCGTACTATGAACCTTACCTCTTTAGTATCGTTATTGGGTTTCGCATTTGACTGGCTCGTGCTGCTTGATGCCACTTCTTGTGGTGCTTGTGTCTTCGGGCTCGTTGAGTGCGTTGAACTTTGTGAGGCGGAGTCGTTCTGTTAACAATTATATTTAAATTTATGTGGCCTGTTACCTTAATAGTAGTATGATAACAAAACTAATTTTTTTTGGCACTGATTTCAAGCAGCAGTTGTAGCAAAATTACAAAACGCATAGTCATGAGTCACAAAAATAATGAAATGGATCATTGAATAAATATTGAGCAGTATAGCAGTAGGGCAGTTACGTGAAGGTAGTTTATAAACTGGAATTAGTCGGTAAGAAATCTCATTCTAAGCAGTTCTTTAAACAATGAGGTGGTAAAATGTATTCCTCGTATAGCCTCGTAGGTAGCAAGTCGTTTCTGACAGGGTCACAATTCTAACCTAACCTACTTTCCTGGAAGCAGCTCGTTACTGAGGGGGTCACTATAAACCTTAAAAAATAATGCTATATAAATAAAAATACTTCGCTATAATTATTATTCAATTTGCTGAGCATCCCTCTAACGAAAATTTACCCCTCTTATCAAATCGTTTTGGGTGGCTCCCTGTGAACTGCCGAAGTATTAATTTATTTAATCTTTATGCACAAATATAGCAAAGGCGGACTTTATGCACTAGGCTTTTTCTACCAGTCGACCTTAGGGCGATGCAGCAGAGCCAAACATTATACTCGTAGACGCAGAGAAATTAAAAATGTATTATTTTTAAATACAGCATTTATATAGAATATCAAATTCCTAGAGTACTTATATAACTTACATTAGAATAATTTTTAAGTTTAATTTATCTAACTGCCAATTCCATCATTTCTACTGGCCATTTATTTATTAGACTGCTTACGTACTGGTATTATTTTGGTACTGGTATTGTGGGATGAAATAACCGGCTAATTGTTTTTTTTTTATTACTGTTCATGTTTTCACATCATCACATCAACAGTCTTTAATAGTCCACTGTTGGACATAGGCCTCTTTTTAGAAAAAAGGTCTTGGCCTACTATTCATGTTTTACTGTCGCACTTATTTACCCACCGCCGATAAATAAAATAACTGTACACAATTTTTTTCATCTGATCATAATAACCTCTCGCCCCACCAAGAAGTGTTTGAAACAAAAGTTAAAAAAAAGTTATGTAATTTTTCGAAATGTGTTTCTTTAAATTACTTGGCCTAGTTATCTGCCTGTATATTTTCAACATAAGCATCAAAAAATTCCTTTGCATCGTCTACTGCCTCGATGAATGGTAAGAAAAACAGCCCAACCTCTGATCGATATTATCATCAGATATTGGATAATATTATATTAGATCACAATATTAACAATATAATACAAATAAATTATAACCATTATATAGTCGGTCGGTATTGTCTGTGTAGTGACGGATTAAGAATACGGAATGTGAATACCCCAATTCATCCCGTGGGTGTCGTAAGAGCCGACTAAGGGCGCAAAACCACGCAGGACACCAGCGCTACAAAAAGAAGGAAAACTTGACACAATCCCTATACCAACCCGTCTGGCCAGCGTGGTATAGTAGGCCAAAACCTCCTTTCTAAAGAGAGGCCTATGTCCAGCAGTGGACTCTTAAAGGCTGTTGATGTGATTATATAGTCGTACGTCACGTAGTATTATAATATTAGGTCTTTACCTATGAAGTTGGAGATTTGTATGAAAATTTAAAATTAAAAAAATTTTGGTTATTTTTTTGATTTTCGATAATCTAAGTACTAGCCCAAATTATCTACACACTTTTGCCATTTTGATAGCATTTCGTTTATCCCTTTACTGTAGAAGTCTGCTGGACGGGAGGCCATGCGCAAATCAGCTAAAGTTGTTTGTACTGCCTCTCGGGTGTAAACATTTTTCCCACCGAAAAATTATCTAAAATTTGAAAAAAGTAGAAATCCGTTGAGGGCAAAGTCCGATGAGTACGGTGGGTGACGCAGAGCTGCCAGCTGTAAGCTCTTGTAGCTTTGCGATGGTCTGTCGTGAAGTGTGAGCTCGCGATTTGTCGTGGAGAAGCAATGAATTGAATTGCGAGATTCTCCACCATTGTTTACAATTTTTGGCAATAAACATCTGCCGTCACTGTTGTGCTACGCGGTATGAAGCTGTGATGTACAAGTTTGGCACTGGTCCACCAATAAGTCTCCATCATCTGCCTATGGGTAATTGTGTTTCTCTATCCGGGTCCACCTATGGAGAGGGACGCTTACGGTTGTCGTACAGGATCTACTTTTCATTGCAGATAACAATTTGATTCAAAATTCTATGTCAATTCAGTAGTGCTGTGCATGCTTTGAAACGTAAGTCTCTCTGATAGCCGCTTAGTTCGTCTGGCACTCACTTATCTAGCTTCTTTTATCTTTCCGATTTGACGCATTACTTCAATGTTGTTTTGACACAACTCCAAATCCTGCAGTAAGCTCAGCCGTCGATTTTGTTGGATCCGTTTCCCTCGTTACCTTCAATTCGTCTCTGTCGATTATAGTTATCTGCCAACTGCGAGGCTCGTTCTTCAATTCAAAAATTTCAGATCTATAACGATCGAACCGATAATAATCTTGCATAGATACGTACACGTCGTTAATGTTTCGTGCTGTAATTTCTACGTAGGAACTCATACTCGAAAATTGTACGAATTTTCAGTTTATCATTGGTGCCAAAAACTACCACAATTTCATGAAAATAAAAGCTCTAAAACAAATGACTCAATTTTAAATTTCGAATTATTATTATAATTATTTGAATTTCGAATGCGCGGCAAGCCACAGATAATTAAATCTGAAAGTCTACCTTTATAGGTATGGAGTGAGTGCGTACCGTGGGTGCGTGGTGCGGGGGCGGCGCGTGGTGGTGCGGCGCCAGCGCCACGGTGAGCGTGAGGTCGCACCACATGGCGCAGCGCGCGCGACGCGCCATCGCGCTCAGCTGCTTCACCGCCTCCGCCAGCTGCAGGATCGCTGCACACACGATATACGATCGTACACTTATTTTTATAACACAAGAGAACAAACGAGCAGGAGGTCGTGTAATGGTAAGTGACTACTGCCGCAAATGGACACCGTCACTCGAGGGTCACAGTGCGTTACCGCTCTTTGAGTTTCCCATAGAATTAAGGGATCTTATTAAGAATTAAAGATTTCATTAGAAATTAAGGGAATCTGTTTTTATATAATTTATGTATTCAATATTGTGTATTCCTCCGTACGCGAAATGAGTTTAAAACGCCACAATAATAATATGATAGATGCGGTGCGGTACGTATGCGTGTACGTACGGTCGGGGCTGCGGTGTCGGTGCGGCTGGTGCGGCGCCAGCTCGCGGCGGCGCGCCGCCTGCACGGCGCCCACGGCACTGCGCCACGCCAGCATGGCGCTCTCCACCTCGCTGTGCGGGGCGCTGCAACACACGCCGTCACGCTCATACAGATATAAGCATAGAGAGAACACGGTACAGCCGCCTGTAAGTGCCACGAGAGAGATGGATGCCCGATAGTTCCCACCGTCTCTGTTAAGCTGAGCTGTGATTGGCTATCGTGAAGAGGTTTTGATAGAAAACAATCGAGAAATTAGAAATTTTCCAAGCCATCCACAGAACTCGACCAGAAAGACATAGAAAGAACTGTCAGAAGTGCAAGTGTGTTGTGTTATATTATCCATCTCTTTCGTTACCTATATCGCAAGATTGGGGCTCTTGTTTACTCTATGCTTATATCTTTATAATTACAATATGTCAATATCTTTATGAAAAAATATTTTACCCTATTCTACCCTAGAGCTACGCCCATAATTTTGACCTCCATGGAAAGAAAATAGAATCGACAAATAAAGCGTATTCTACCCATAATTCCTGTAACATAAATACTCTAGGCAACACAACGTTTAGAAGACTCGAACTCTTCCTAGCGATAGTTTCGAATAGCAGAATAATTAAAAAAAAAAAATTAACATTCACAAAAAAAAATCAAGAAAATACATTTTATCGTATATATTCATATTATCGTCGTCGTTTATATTCATATTATCGTCGTCGTTTATATTTATATTATCGTACATAACTATGAAAGGGAGTATGGATGTTTGATCCGCTTTCAAGCCAAAACCACTAAATCCACTTAAAAAACTATTTTACCAATGGAAAGCTACATTATCAGTTACTGTTAGTAACATAGGATACTTTTTAATGCAATAACCGACAAACGCGTGTTCGAAGCTGCGGACAAAAATAGTTGTGTATAAAACCTAACGCAGATGAAGAATAAAACTGTGACTAAAACGGCACGTGAAACTGCCAGTATCTAGTTCCTGATAAATATTGAATAAAACTCACATCTCAGCCAAATTTTTAACATCCTCTCGCCACGTACTGGGGTCGAACGTAGCAGGATCCATACCCTGCTCTTGTCCTTTCTCCTTCTCGTTCACATCCTGACCTCGCTTCAATACGGTTATCTTCGACTCTTCAGTCTTGTGTGGTTTCTTGTTTTGTGCAACGCATACACTTGCTCGTAAAGTCTCCATCTTGCCCATTAGGGTTAACACCTGTAAACAATTTTTTTAATATCGTATAGTCTGCTAACGAGATATAAGTTGAGTACCACCCTTTGAGTACCCCTCCAAAATTGGGCTGAGGGGGGAGGTTTGGGACTCTGAGCTCCGGTATCTTCAATCATTTACGTTTTTTTCAATTCTTATAACATGTAAAATGTACCTTATGTGTAACTTACATACAAAAATAACCATTTTTTTTACGCTTCCTGCATTACAATCTACACGAGGCGGACTTAATGCCACATGGCATTATCTACCAGTCAACCTTTAGATGGTTCAGTAAGGGACATGGCAGGTGCATTTCTACAATGAAAAGTATAAAAGAAGCTATGAACTAAAAATTTATAAATAAAAAATTACAATTAATAGTGCTATTTAAAAGTACATACACGAATCCACATATACATATTTATGTCATATACATGCAGAATAAAATATATACAATAATAATATCTGAGGTGACGAGACCATGAGGATATTTCTGCTGGCTTTTTCTTATAAAATTCTCGGACTTTGGTTTTAGCAACAAGAATCCGCGGAGGTTTAGTCCGCGTGCTATAATGAGTCTGTCTACTGTTTATGGTTTACATTATACTTGAAAGGCCAAATCAACCATGGATATAGGCACCGGCACCGATCTTGAGCGCTGACCTTAACCTGCGCAGAAGTCGATTTTTGGGTAGATTGGTGGTATGAAGTAGGTCGGGAGGGGGGGTTTAAATTGTAACGTCGGCCAGTGATTGTTTTCTCATACTGAAGGAAACCACACTGAAGGAAAACGACTAAACTTCTGAGTAAATTAATAGGGGCTTGCTTTTTTTTAATAATTAATTCATTTCTACTTTCGCTTTTCATCAATTTAATTTTCTTGTAGTTAAAACATTGAGATTTTAATGTATTATCTAATATGTACCAATAACACAATAAATGCGATGATACATCAAATCACATCAACAGCCTTTAATAGCCCACTGCTGGACATAGCTCTCTCCTTAGAAAGGAGGTATTGGCCTACTTTGCGAATGTGATGACGATGGAGAAAAATGGCCACCGTACCAGTACCAGCTTTATATAAGAAAGTGATTTGACGAAAGGTGTTACTTCTATTTCACAGTAATAATTTTGTAGGGAAAATATTTGTTAAACAATAATAAATACATTTATGTTGTACATTTTATGTATGTACATACATTTTGTCTCACCATAGAATCAAGAAAAAGTTACGTGTAGCTTTAGTACGTAACGTGTTATGGTTTTGTTCTATTTTTGTTTTATCCTATGAAAAAATAAATAATAATAAATGGATGTGAATTTTATTTCGACATAAGTGAACGATTCTCAAAGCGATCCCCACTCTGCAGCCAACAAAACACCAAGTGTTTTATGTCACTTGCATAAACACATTTATATCAGATTGTAAAATATTTACATCTATACAAATAAATAAAATTGAAGTGTCTGTTTGTAATGTAAAAATAATAGGTTTTTTTCATGCTCACACGGTTATTTGCACGATAGCCATGCCTAAAAACCATTTAAAAAATTTTTGGCTTTTTGTCTGTTTGTTCCGGTAATCTTCTTAACAGTTTAGATAGTATTTTACTACTAGGTGTCTGCTGTATACTATGTGGTGCTGTCTATATAGAAGTAACTTAGGCTAATTTTCTACTCCGAAAAGCCCTTTAAAATTTTGGCCGGTCCGGGAATCGAACCCATTAAGGCAGCGTTCGCTTCGTTTTATTTTCAAATTAAACGAAACGAAGTCGCGGGTACCAGCTGGTCTATAATAAAATAAATACATAGATACATTTTTAAATTTATATACGGATAAAATTTCAACTTATTTCAGTGCTGAACACCAGTTTTTGTGAGACCATGGTATCACCCCAGGCGTGTCCTATGTGCCGAAATACGATAGGCACAATATTTTAAAATGTATACTGTCTAGAGCAGATCTCTGCCAAATCCGCCAAGTCTAGATTTCTCTCATGGGGTTCTGGCTTCTGGGGGGGGTCTCTTCTTAAAAGTAGTTTGGGAATCTTCCCAAACTACTTTGGACAAGAGACCCCCTTTCCAAAGAGAACTTCCTATGTCTAGTTTTTTTCCTATTGATACAGAATACTTATCAAATTACAAACTTTGCCGTTGGTTAAGAAGTAAACTTGACATCATTTTTTCATCAAAATTTAACAAAATAAAAAGACATAGTCAGTCTTATAACAAGTCGGTACACGTACAACTTAGACAGTATGTTGAAAATCTCAAACAAGGACTTGTGTTAATTAATAGGGGTCAATTTTTATATTTCGTCGACCCTCAAAATCAGTTTTCATTTATTTCGACCCCTGGGAAACCGATGTCGACCCCAGCGGGTCGATATCGACCACTTTGAGAATCCCGGGTCTAGAGTCAAGATTTAGATCTTTATCTATTTCTTATAAAGCTTAAATTATACTGAAATTTGAAATTCAAATTTCAATAGGATGTATTGTGGGGCAGGCGCTAGGTTATCAAGTCGGCGTATCTAGTCTATTTCCGCAAGTGTATGTAACATTTATGAGCTGGTATAAAGGAGCATCCATTAACATCTTAGGATTAAATTTATTTTTACAAAACCAGAAAACTGGTTATATTGTTGTACATTATAAAAAATACGAACGAATCTTACAATAGTATAGCATATAATGTGTCACATCTAACATCTCACTTACGATCTGACGAAGAACTCTAGCAAAGCACTTGCTCATTAATCAAATCAAATAACGTATTACCCTGACTTTTTGTTACACATTTTCGTGTAATTTGATATAAGCGAGAGAAAAAATGCACATAAATAAAATTAGATAAAATTTTATTACATTCCCTCATCACTTTCTGACAAAATATAATTAATGGATGCTCCCTAATGGAAATGTTCGCAAAGTAAGTTTAAGATTTTAAAACGCTTCTATTACCTTGGTATGTTCCCGGAGCATATCTACAGTAAGCCTGTCTACCCTTGTAGGGCAAGGAGGTAATCTCGGCACAGGTATGGAGTTACTGGAGGACACAGCCCTCCCCGGATAGGCGAGCGCCAACCTTGCTTCCGTACGTTTCCGTTCACGTTCCAATTGCCGCCACTGTTCGTAGCAAGCGTCGAGACGAGCGTGTAGGATTCCTGACGATGTTGCTGCACTTCTAAAAGAACATATTAAAATTTTTGTTTATTTGTTTTTTTTTTTTGCAAGTTAAAACTTAAGCCGTTGCGGGTAGTCGGATGTAAAACATCGAAATTATTTTGCAAAAATTATGAGTATGAAAGGAAATAATAAATATAGCACAATTCAAAATTAATTATTCAGTTTTATTTAACGTCCTATGCGCGTCACTCCGCGTTGCATGTTTTTTATACTATAATATATCGTGGCCACGCCAAAAGAGCCGGTCTGCATTAGATGTTTCATATCAAAAATCTAAACATAAATGGTGAATGGGTTCCTTACCTCATATTTCTCATAGCATAGTAGGGTGCAAGCAGAGGTAGATCTAACATCGGTGATGGCAATACAGGCGGTGGGACAGGCGGACTTGGGCCTAACAGTGCACCCAGACCTAAAATAGAGATATAAATACATTTACTTTCACACACAGCAAAAGATCATCATCAGTGTCATCATCTTCCTACTCTTTGCTCATTTTTATTTAATGATCGGTTTTGCCGTTTGTCTGGACCTTGGGTCCATCGATCCTTGGGGATATACCTTATCGTTTTCAGAAAAAACAAATGAAAAAGAATTGGGGTGAAGAATTGATAGGATTAAGGATATGATAGGGGAAGACTGAAATAGCTCGTAAAGGCCAGGCCCATACTAATCTGAATTACGTGATGTAACTCAGATTAGCAAAACATTTAAAAAATAAAAGATAAGCATTAAGTAACCCAACAAGTAAATAACACAAGTAACATAATAATTTTTATTTTTTGACTCAAGAGCCAAACCAGAAATAGGCGGTTATTTATTATAACCACCTACCGCCTTAGTAATATATACTTTTTTATTTACTTCATTTTAATTTGTCACTGATTTATATCAAGTGCAAGTTTTGAAAAGAACTTAATAGTGAATTGGAAAATATGCTTTTCACACTGTCAGATTTCATTTCTATGCTAGCTATTGTTCCGTGACAATGACAGGTATCAGTAAAACCACATGGTTTTACTGATACCTGCAGGCGTGAATAAACCCTAACCCTGGAATGGTAAACAGAGGATGGTAGAAGAACGAATGGAGTAGTGACAACGATTTATGGGGCTTCCTAGGAGGTAGATTATTGGTTCGAATGAATGAATCGTTTCCTGAATGACGGACTTCTGAGATAACAAACATATTAAAAAAATGACAGAAAAAATGATAAATATTTATTTTTCTATTATTATTTTATTACACACAGTGATATCTAAGTAACTTGGGTATTTTGATATAGCAAAAATGGCAAACAGTAAAGAAAAAAATAACTTACCCAAGTTAAAAGGATTATTTTCATGCAGAAACGACACATCTACGTTTAGCTGATTAGGTGGTGGTCGGTTTCTCATTAATATACTCATTTGCCGCGCTAATTCCTGATTTTGCCGCATCATAGCTGCCTGTTGCATGTTTTCCCTTCCAACATTATCAAAGTTCCTATCACTAATAGAACCATTTCCTTGAAAATTCTCCCGTGGTGCCATTTGATTCATATCACGCCTTTGCAAAAAGTCATTTTGGTTGTATCCATTTGGCTTGTAATTCATGGAACTAGCGGCAGAAACTGGTGTTTGATTCGAAAAATCGAAATTCTGGCTCATTGGACTCCTATCGTTGACCTGTGACATCATGTCGTAAAAATTATTTTCTCCAAAATTTGTGTTTGGTGGCATTTGCTGGAAATTCCTGTTGTAGAACATTTTATTCCTGTCATCTTGAATTTTGTTAAATTCTTCATTAGGAAAGTGTCCATTTAAATCCATTGGCATCTTAAAATCTAAATTATTAATTCCATTTTCGTCGCGATTTCTATCCCCAGATATATTTAGTTGGTTTAAATATGCCAGTAATTCAGTTTCCTGATTAGTTTCTTTCACAAAACCATCGAATTTGTTTGGGAACCTTTGAGCATTATTAAAAGGCGTTTCAAAATTGGAATTATAGTTCATGTCTAAATTTAAGCTGTTTGGTCTGTTGAAGTTATTCACTGAGAACATGTTGGTTTCTGGCAGTGAGTTTCTTTGGCTCGGTTCAAAGAAGTTGTAGAACTTCTCATCGTATTTAGTCGGTGTTGTGAACTGTGCACCGCCGATTTCCTGTGCGGCGAGCCTTAGTAAATTTAGTTGTTCAGGTGTAACTGTGTCGGTGGATGTGTCTGGCACGGGATCCATCCCGAGTAAAGCAGTAACATCGTTATCGGGATAATTGACGAAACCATTTGAGCTGGCAAATCCATTCGGCATGTTGAAGCTGTAGCCATTTTGGTCGTTTTGGTTGAAATTGTACATTGAGTTATTCTGATAATGATATGACGGTGGTATGAAGGAATTGCCAGAATCATTTTTTGGATACTGGTTTGTTTGTATACTGTTTAGAGTTTTTTCCGGTGGTTGTATAGAGCTAAAAAGAAGAACAGGTTTAAACATGATGCTTTGACATAATTTACCGCTACGAATACCAGAGCAAAATAAAATATTCATACATACATTGTCCGATTGTTTGCACAGTACTTACAAATTAAATACGTACCATTAGAAAAGGGGTTTAACAAAAGAATATTAAGACTAGAAATTAGAAGGACCTTGTCAGAAGGTGTACCAATCGAAAATAAAATTATGAAGAATTTAAAGACTATTGCATTAATTAATTCAAATATAATATCTTCATTAAAATCATAATCTTTTTTTTTTTATTAAATATCTTGGCCCATCTTACACACGGCCATGTGATCTCAATGTATTGTGGAGACCGGACTTCTAATAAACATAGTTATATATTTCTAAATAATTACAATCAGACATAGAACAAACAATCGTACTCTACACACAATACTTGTCCTAGGTGAGAATCGAACCCACGACCTACGTGTTCGATGTTTATGTCATGCCTATCAAGTGTAACTCCTGTATTGAGTTAAACTTAAAGAATAAATTGTCGCCATAGGGTCTTACTCAAAGCATAGATACATAGCCTACGTACGTACTGTATTACCATTACAGAGGAACAAATAAAAACGTTAGATAAAATCGGCACTCAAAAGATTTCTTTCAACGCAAGGTGAAGTTGAATGAATAATTTAGCATAGATTCTTTGTAAGACATTGCAGTGAATGTAAATAATAACTTCTGTTCTATTTTAACCCTTATTATCGATCTTTTGCCGGACTATAAAGCTTCATAAATGGTTTGGGGATAATACCTAGAGTACTTTTTAAATGTTGTACTAACCTGCTCCCTTCTGTAGGTCCGGTCTCATCGAGAATCTTTGTGATGAGATCACGGACGATCGAGTTCTCTTCCATAATGCGTTCCGACTGCAAGAAATGAAAAATAAAAGTTAAAGTTGTTAAGTTTTGAGACGTGTGTGTGTAAATTATTTCACAAAACGTAAGGTGTTAAGCTTCCCCTATTCTTGTATTTATATTTCGAAATTGACGGATAATTATTTTGAGTATTGGTAAAAAAAGCTAGTAAAGTGCGCGTCTACAATTTGTTTTTACTTTTTAACCCAACAATTTAGCTCGTAGGTAACACTTAACTCTAACAAAAATTGGCACTTGAAAAAAAGTCTTCCGTCTTATCAAATCACCGCATATCTTTTGTGTGTGACCCACCCCCTCGGGCGGTCACCCCACCGGAGTTAGCGATGGGGCGCTGTGTCGGAATCAGGAAAACCACACGGTGTGCCACTCTGCGCCAACTACATCCAATTTATCCAACGATACCTTACACTATGATGAAAAGAAGAAAAAATCATCCCCATCTAACGTGTAGTACACAGATAAAAGTGTAAATAAGGTTGTATAATAAATTTTCAAGATATATTTCACCACTTTGACTGCGAGACCACTAATGTCTCTTGAATATTCAATTCCGTGCTTCGCGGACTTATGCGATAATGTTCAGACTTAGACTGAGACGATAACTTCGGTAGACATGTACGACAGCCTAGGACGGATGAACAAAACTGACCGGAGAACCTCGAGAAATACAAACATATGCAGCCTACGTCAGTCGTCAGCCACGTGCGTCTGCCGCAGACCTCGAAAACATCGCCATACATTTTCATACTCTTCACTATTTTCGCATCGGCCACGCGATAGGACGCTAACGGCTGTGATCAGCCGCGATTCACGGAATTGAAACTTTGAAAAGCTAGGCCCCAGAGGGACATGGTGAAACTATGGTGACAGGTCTAACTAAACAAGCCTTAACAGAAACTTAAGGTTATGGGTTCCATATAAATTTATTGTGTATAGTTTTTTTTTTTATGATGATGAACCATGCACGGCTGCAACTCAGGAGCTGGCCTATTAGGAAGGAATAGGTACGCTCTTTTCTTGAAAGTTCGAAGTTGTAACAGTGTTTGCAAATAGTCAAGAGTATATTTCCGAGTTAAGAACAAATTTGGTAGTGTTATAAACAACCATTCCAAACTAACTACCGTATCTTTCTATCAAAATCAGTTCCACAACATTTATACAGAATATTTAAGGTTTGACGTTAATTCGATAAGAGCAAAAATTTTATGAATACACTTTCAGGATGAACAGGGATGAACTGGTAATCCCAGTCATGATGTTTTCACAAACACAATTACACCCGACTCTAAATAATTATCACGTAATCACTCAAATTTGCGTCAGATTTAGAAACTTAAAACATCTTGTATTTATAATCAAGTTAAATTTAAATTTATTTAAAAATTTCATTAATAATTCCTTGAAATCATCTTTTATTTTTAAACTAAAAATTAAAGATCAGCACTCAATGTCAACTTAACAATAGGTTGCTTTGTTGTAAATAAAAATTATTCCGTCAATAAATAATAAATAACACTGTGTTTGCAAAGAGTCAAGTCGAATTCCGAGTTAAGAAAAAAATTGTTATAAACAACCGTTCCAAAAAATTTGGATAAACTAACTATCAATCTTTCTATCACCATTGGTTTGACAAAATTTATACAGAATCTTTATTACAATATTTATGAAAAGAGTTGAAGGTCTTTGAGAAGATATAAGGATATATAAGAAATAAGACTATATTGTTGATGGAGAATAGTACACATTGTTTAGTTTAGTTTGGTTTGGTCAAATGAATTGATACTGAAAACTATTATGAGCGCACATGAGCCTACTAACTTGTGAGACATGGATGTTGTGGTGTTATCATATCATATCATATCTATACCACTGTGATCTTGTGTGTGTCGTGTCATGTGAAAATTAAGTAAGAGCTGGGAGCCTAAGAGAGCAAACTCTGCAGGATAACAGCATTGCAAAGAGAAGGAAACCTGGAAACAAACCCTATACCAAGCCGTCTGGCCAGTGTGGTATAGTAGGCCAGACCCCCCTTTGAAGAAAAAGCCTCTGTCCAGCAAAGGACTGTTAAAGGCTGTTGATGATGATATTGATGACACTATCTAGTGGTCACTCACAGGTTGTTATTCATTAAATTATCAATAACATAAAAGTATTTAGTGCCTTACACAAACTCAAATATATGAATTTAAATACATACTTCCTTTTTTACTGCATCAAATAAATATTTGAGATGGTACTCATCTGATAAACAGTGCACTACAGTGCAGTTGCAAGTTTAAAAATATATAAAAATGGCTTTAAAAGATTACAAATGTCAAGTTAAAAGTATATCTTGAGCTGTCATGATACAGAAAGTCTTTACAATAATAGTTAAAATTATACTGGTCAATAATGTGAAACATAATAGTTTAAAACTAATGAATGACCTCTAGTTTTTATGAAGTACTGAAATACCTCTAGTTCTTATAAACTAACTAGCTGGTACACGTGACTTCGTTCACAGAGTCCCATCGTTTGTTCCATGCAAACAAAGTCATGGGCACCAGCTAGTGTACAAAAAAATCTATGCAACTGCCTAGGAGACATTCTCCTTACTGTGAATCTGTTATAAACATACAAAATAGTACACACATCATCATCATCATCACATCAACAGCCTTTAACTGTCCACTGCTGGACATAAGCCTCTCCTTAGAAAGGAGGTTTTGGCCTACTACACTATGCTGGTCAGACGGGTTGGTATAGGGTTTTGTGTGAAGTTTTCCTTCTCTCTGCAGTGCTGTTGTTCTGCTGAGTTTTTTTAGTACACACATACCTGAGATAAATTAATATCAGCCAAATAAGACATTGAAACTTAAAAATAGTTGACAGAATAGTTTACCTGTTTAATACTTATAATGATGATATCACTATGTATTTAGCTGTAAGTTATATTTAGCTAAAAGTGTGTTTAAAATAATAAATTAAATTGTAATCATTTACATATTTGATACTTGTCAGTGCATTGTTATGTACCATTATAACTACAAATCAAATATTAGACATAATGTTACTATGCCCTAAGTTTATAGATGTCCCTAAGTTTTGGCGAAAATGTGTAACAAGACTTTTTTGCGACACTTCAGGTGGCGCGTCGACTCTCACATCTTTTTCATATTTCTTATATATTGCACATGTCTACCAAAAAGACAGAAGAATTTCGTTCCAGCATAGACCCCTCACGCCGCTTTTATTTAACATATAGAAAATCCTGAAGAGAAATGTTGTGTACCTGTTGATTCTTTATCTCTGTTTATCTGGTGCTTAAATATTATTATTCTTGAATTTTTTTAGATACAATAACATGTCTTTATCAACTGTTGTTATTATATTTTTTATTGTTTATTTATGTTTTCAGTATGTAATTATTGTTACTACTTTAGTGGTAGTCTCCTGTAATTGAGGGTGTATATCATTTGTTGGAGACTCAAAATAAATAAACTAAATGATGTATATATGAAATTATGTAACTCAAAAGCACTTTAAATTTCTACTGTCTCTCTGAAACATTTTGTATTATCCTAAGGTTGCCTAGAAGAGATTGCTCTTAGCAATTAGACTGCCCCTTGTATATTTCAATATTTGTCATTTTCATGTATGATACTCTTTTAAAAATGGTATAAAAATAAAGTTTTCAATCTATTTGCCTGACTTGGTAGGGCAGTGGTAGTTTATGCGACTGCTGTATTGAGGTCTAGGGTTCCATGCCCGGGTCAGACTAAATGTTTTTATGATCTGCAAATATTTGTTTCGGAGTTTGGGTATTTTCTATGTATAATATGTATGTTTTTACAAAAAAAAAGTATATAAGTATTCTGCTTAGTTTGAAACTAGATGGCGTTGTGTCAAATATAATTTTCTTTTTACCTTTTTTATATAGCATTTATAATCAACATAAATGCAGTGACAAAGTAATAATAATAAAGTTTAATGTGAAAGTGAATACTTACACATATATGTGTTTGAAATATGTACTACCCTTATACTTCCTTTTTACAAATACACAGCAGCCACATCTCTCTACTTCTCTACTCCCTTCAACACTCAAAAGTTCATTGGTAGAAAATACCACTTGACATTGCCCACCCTATGCAATATAAATAGATAGGAAGTTTAAATACACAACAAACAGTGCAGATGTTGTGACTTCATAACATCTATTTACCCAATGATAATAGAATAAAAAAGTATACTATGAAAGAGGTAAGTAATAAAATGGTATGAGGACATAATATCATGATTACATACAACCGTTGAATGAGATTAAAAATTTTAGAGGCTATATGGGTTTGCTTTTATTGTGTATAACATAAATCATTAAATAAGAACTGCCATATAGAAAAAAGAACAAATATGTTATGGAAATGAGGCTAGAGATTGCCTTTTAGTTGAAGTTATGACAGCAAATAATAAAATTTTGAGTATTTTCTTACATGTTAAATAATGTTTGTATATGTGTACTTTCAATATAATGATAGGCTAACATATTATACTAGAATAGTATAGCTTAATGCACCCAATAATAATAAGTTTCCTAGTTTAATACATCCCTTCTCCATATAAACATTAAAACTACCATATTTTACATTCCTTTGTATTTGAAATTTGCTCAAGTGTTACAAGAATTTTTCTTTATACATTAACAAATAGACAAAAAGAAAATGAGATTATTTTCATTCCTTATAATGTAAATATTTTAACTAAATATAACAATGACTCCTTTAAATAAAATCACTTTTCAATAAAAAGCAAACTGTTTTTCTTGACACAAATAGAGCTTTTCAATTACTTTATGGTTTGATTAAGGAGAGAGGCACTTTGTAATCCAATATTGTATGTTGTTACCACAACAAATGGATAATAACACTAAAATGTTCAGTCAAGGACATTCCAATTGTTTTCTTACAAGAATTTCAGTTTCATAATATTGTGTGCATTTCTTTATATTTATGTTTATTTTATATCAGTTAATGAATAATAAATACTTGTTGTAGGTTCTAAACAATTACGTTCTTTCCTTAGAAACCAAAGGCTATAGAAAGTGGGTAGGTGGAAGCATATTGTCCTTATATGTACCAACACATATTGACATTATCTCATAACATTTAGATGTCGTCATGCACCTTAAAAATAGTGTATTTATAATATGTTACCTTGTTATTCCGTCCTCTAACGTACAAAATACATAATTCTAAAAATATTATGTGCATTCCCTGATGTCATTACCTATACACTTCAAGAAAAATATATCGGAACACGGTCACACAAAATATCACAACAAATGTTCACTAAACTCATTTTTAACACTTTTCTTAGTCCATATATGTAGAATAACGCACTTTAACTTTTATTTAGTGTAATATCATTTAGATATTAGGTCAGATTGACAGTCCACGACATTTACAACACCCATTGAAAAATGGCACTTTACGAAAACACTGACTTACCTGATCTGTTTCATTTTCGACGGTTTTGTACGCATTACCTATGTGACATAAATCACTGAATGCCATTTAAATAATAAAATTATTTCTTGCCACGATACATACGAGCTTACTTCGGTGCTAAGCCATTTTTTCCATTGACCTACATGTGTATAAATTTATACGTGCTTACTCGCAACGGTGTTGCTGTCACGATGCGAGGTAATGCACTCCAAAAATATTTAATTTGCAATAGAACATTGTTTTAATTTAAACTTACATGGTAAATCGACAGTTTTCAGTAAAATTATAATTATTGTAGTCAGAAATATTTTATTTTGTTTATATCTTAATTTCCCGCCCTTTCAAATGATTTTTCTTATTTTTTTAACCATCAACCAGATTTATTTCTTTATCACAAAAAAGGCAAAGGCAATATTTTCCAATGAGTATTAGATAATTTAATATTTAAAAAGGTAAATATGTTTTTGAATACTTTTTACAAAATCACATTACAGCATTTGTGTTTTGTAGTAGGAAAATGATAGTAGAAATAAGTGAAACTAGTAGAGGCACATGTATTATAATAGAATTTGTAACGAAAAACAAACATACCAATGTTATATTTAGGTCTTTTTGGAAAAGCATTTTCTCCTGTTATTGAAATCTTAAAGCTTATATTTTCATATGGTAAGTTGCACAACTTAAAATCAGTTTATAGTGCTAAGAGTGACATCTATGGTTACTGATCACCCTGCAAAACGTTCCGCATCAAAACAACCTACAACTTTGCCCGACCCAACAAGAAAAAGCCTAACAGTTGTTTATTATTGTATAGATGGCGCTGTTCACAGTTTCAGTAAATGAATGTTAAAATTACTTCACTACTGCCTGCGGGAAGCATTTATGAATAGGTGAGGTCAGGACCGTGAGGTAGTGTTCTATGTTTTACGTTTAGTTTCTATTATTTGGAATTGCTTTTCCCCAACATACAAAACTAGGAAAATAAAGAGGGCCGGACAGTATTTAGTAATGAGAGATGTTTATAACCAATACAATTTAAATTATTCAATACTCTCGTTAATTTACGAAGTGCTTTTGCGCATCCGGAATTTTAAAGTAGGTACTTAAGTTTAACATCATTAGTTTTGGTATTAAAAAAGTAAAATGGTTAATTTGTACCATCGGTCCCATGATTAACATAAGGTTTACCGCACCGGCTTCGCACGAGTGTAATGTAGATTATGTAGATACTACTAATACTACTAATGTGGTGTCAGTGTGGAGTTATTAATTGTACTATTAATTAGATAAGACTACTCAGAGGCGGATTAAGTATATAAGTAGAGCGCCCTAGGCAAACATCTCATCGGCGCCCCTCGCATCTCTCTATCGCCAATACCATATTTTTTAATACCCACTAGTTGACTTTACTAAATTTGTGACAGTGATAACTCCAAATAAGTAGTTGGCATTTCCTTACTACAACTTTTTTATTTTATTTTTAAACGTGTGGAAACCCCTTTGCGCTTTCACCCCACCGGGGCTTGCGGTGGGGCAGTGTATCGGAATCGAACCGACTAATACACATTGTGTGATCCACAAATTGTTGTTCTGAGACTGGGCGTTCTTTGTGCCCGTTTCATGTATGTTTGTAAAGTCCCCCGTGATAAAGCATATATTCCTAGCGTGGCAGTTGTTGCTCACTTGTTCACAAAATAGCTCGGAGACTACTACTCCTGCGCCTGCTACTTGCGGATCAGATACAAGTGATCTCCTGCGTCAGCCGATATGAGAGGGTCCCGTGTTTCCTCTCGAGCCAATACTCTATTACGGATATAACCGCCGCTAGAATGGCGTACCGTTGCGCTTCTGTTATGATCGGCGGAACTCCTGGCGGAGTTATGATTTCTGGTTCTCGATTTCTCTAGTCCCAGTTTTCCGAACCAGAACGAGCCCCAGATATCTCATCTAGGGCTCAATGTCGATCCCCCAACTATGGGGATGGATCCCTCAGGTGACACTATTTGAGGCTGATGGAAGAACAAGGCCTCAGATTTGTGCAGAGACACCTTGGGATCCAGCCGCTGGATCCGGAGCACTGCCCACTCAACAATGACCGGCTGGAGCGCCTCCACGGGCGGCGCCAAAGCAAGAAACTGGAACCTCCAGCCGGGATGACCAACGAGTCATCGTGGCTCGGTGATCGGCCTTACGCTACTCATTTCCACCTCTAAATCCAATGGGAGAGTTCCGCCACCACCCCCTGAGAGTGCTAGAGGCACGCCTTAGTCTGGGCGGTCAGGGCTTCTGCCCACACCGGTGCACCATATAGTGCCATTGACTGTACAACCTGTCTATTACTAAAATTCATAGAGTAATCTCAACTACAGCTACAGCTGCAGTTGTCGCAACTGGATTTTTGTGAACACGCACTAGACTCAATCCTTCAGGTATCAGAAAAAAAAGCAAAGAAGTAGTCTCAATTACGTAATATATATAAATTTTATTAGTATTTTTTATATTTTACTTCACTTTCTCTTTTATTTGATCTTTTTTTCTAATCTTAATTTTTTCTTTTAAGCGACTCCATTTTTAAGATGTAAAGATAATGACAAAAACAATTTTAATGATACCAATACCTTAAAAAAATACGCATTAGTGCTAAACAGATAATACCACCCACCTACCTAAAATGCACAATAACCGTCGGGTCCTTATTTCAAAGAGCAATATGTATTCTTATAGGTAACCTGTTGATAAAAAAGAGAAAAAGATTTATATGGATGGTTTTTGTTGCAAGGTAAAAAAAGAAAAATTTGTACAATCTGTAAATTGATCTTAAAAAATTACTAATATTTACACACTTATGTCATGTGGCTCACCAAAAAGCCATCATCATCATCATCAACAACCTTTAATAGTCCACTGCTGGACATAGGCCTCTTCTTAGAAGGAGGATTTGGCCTACTATACCACGCTGGCCAGACGGGTTGGTATAGGGTTTGTGTCAAGTTTTCCTTCTTTTTGCAGTGCTGTTGTCCTGCGTAATTTGCTGCCTTAGTCGGCTCTTACGACACCCACGGGATGAATAGGGGTGGTGACGCTCCGTATTCTTAATCCGTCACCGAATCGGTGCTTCGGCAAAATATTGGCCGGCTAGCCGGTATTGCCTAGGCATTTCTCACCGAATCAGTGAGGTCACTCGACCTTCCTAATTTTGAGGAGGATTTTCAATGTGCGATCCGATTCGATTGATAATCGAGCAGTCAAAAAATTTATAGGTAAGTATATGTATATTTCAATGTAGATTAATTATGACGTGTTACAGCTAATACCACCTAATGTTACGCTTTCACGGCTAAACCTCTTGGAATTGGAAAGGAGATACGTACTTTGATTCTTCAGGAAGGATATAGGCTACATTTACCGCCACAATTGACATACCAATACGCGTGCGGCGCGGTTAGCCGCGGCCTAAACGGTGTGGCTAATATATAGTGTCCTACTGAAACAGGGTTTTAGCCGAAACCGAATTTCGGCCTTTGTTTCAGTTTCGGCCGAAACCGAAACTCAAACTATCATTTTAAAATTTCGACAGTATACTGATATCTAGTGTATTTTTTAGCCCTTTATCTGCTTATACCTACATACCACCTAAAGCCACTGTAATAAGGTAGACACACGGCATCAATTCTAAATAAGAGGAAATGTATTTAAATAGGCAGATAAAAGTAGAAAAGAGAGTAAAGTAAAAAGCAGAGGCCTATGTCCAGCAGTGGACTGTTAAAGGCTGTTGATTATGATGATTGATGAGGCAGATACAAAAAAGTAGTTAAGTACTAAATACTAGAAATTCTCCTGTAAAAATTAACTAGGTTCCTCACGCGATAGGGTGAAAGGACGGGACGAGATGGCTGACTAGGTAATTTGAACGGACTATACGCGTTTTCTAATAGTTAAAGTTAAGCAACCGAAGATTACACGTAGTATAAGTTTTTTAAATGGTTAAAATTGTAAAATAGGGGATACTAGAAGTAGTTCAACAACAATTAAGTATCTAGAAACAAATAAATCTAAGGGTCGTATTACAAAATGATACTCAAAACTCCAGAAACTCATGAGATTAGTTTTCACCTTATAAACTACGCTCAAGTGTTTTTTTGAGTTTTGAGAAACGCTCTGTAATATGATCTAAGTAATATCTGAATCAAACATAATCTTTTTTATGTTTCACTTACACTTTACCATCAAAAATCTACAAGAGTTACACCTTTAAGCTTTCCGTCACCCACCGTACTCACCGGACCTTGCAGACGCGCCCACCAGACCCAAAAGACTGGACCCAACGGACTTATATTTTTTTCAATATTTAGACAACTTATTACGCGGGAAAAAATTCAACACTCCTGAGTCAGTACAAAACGCTTTCGCTGACTTCATTGCCGCCCGTCCAGCAGACTTCTACAGTAAAGGGATAAACAAAACTGCCATCAAAATTAAAAAATGTATAAGTAGATAATTTAGGAAAGTACTTTGATTAGCTAAAATAACAAAAATTACACAAAAATTTTATAATTTAAAAATTTTATACAAATCTCCAACTTAAAAAAAGACCTAGTATATAATTTCAGTTCATTTTTTGAGTTTTGTTTTACCGCAATGTCTCAGACGTGAATAAATGTTATATCTACCAATTATACTTAAATATATATACGAGTATATACATATATATACCTAGAACTGTATTTAAAATATTATTTATGGACACCTTAAACGGATTCAATCCAATGCTCTTGTAATTACATTTGAACAAGTTGTAGTTGAAGCGAAGTGTAACATTCCCTTTGTGACAATTATCAATCCGTACAGCGCAATTGCATCAGCTCATTTATCCGTCTGTAGTCTATGAGCGATGGTCAACTCTGTGTAATGCACTTTGTCGTTGAGTTAGGTACACACTGGCTGGAAATTTGGCTTGTGGTTCGATTGAGCGGCAATTGTTGTGATTGGTGTTATAGCTATAGAAATCATATGAATTATTATTTGTGAGTTTCTTTGTTTAGTAAACTCAATGGTTTAGTACCTAT